CAGCTTTTGTGTCATTATGTATTTCGAGCAATTGATCAAATTTTTTGTCATTATTTTGGGTGTTTGTTTTAAATCATATAAAAACTTTAGAAGTTTACATATATAAAATCCTCAAGTTGATTAATATATATAGTTCCTCTTCTAAATCTCTTACTAAAAAAACAATTTTAACATCCATTTTATGAATTTTTAAGTTAAAAATATAAGCAAGAGCAATTAAAACTGTAATTGAACATATGGTTGTTGCTGAAAACAAAATGGAAAATATTGTTGTTGTGGTGGATACTCAATCCGAGAGAGGTAATTCAAGACGTGGATCTTAAAAAGGCTCTTGAAAATATGATTGATTTGGCTGCTATTTGAAAATTTCACTGTTAACTATTTTGGAATGAGAAACTGTTTTACATATTTTTCTTTGAAAAAAGTTTCTAAAATGAAATAAGTTGAGACCGTATAATATAAAGAGGTGAATCACTTGCACAAACTTAACACCAACTAGTTTCCAAAATTTCTAGAATAAAAAAATCCTCAATCAAAACTAAAAAACAAACTTTTTCTTGCTAATGCTAAATTTGCCAAATTAGAAAAGCTAAAAACAAAAGGAAAAGTAATTAAATATGTACGCTACTAAAAAAAATCAAATAAGAACTAAAATATGTAAGCTAAATTTGATAATACGATCAAATTAATATTACTTATTAACATTACTTTATTCTAACAACTTTAGTATTTGTTTCCTAACTAGTTAGGATAAAACTAATTCAAGTAGTCTCTCAACCAACTCAAAATTTATTTTTAATAATTTAACTTTACGTTAAAAAGGGTTAAGTAAATACAATAAAAATAATTATTCTAAATCCATGTAAGCAATGCACCTAAATAAATTTAAATGAATTGAAATTGCAAATTTAAATGCACCTAGTTAGATGAAAATGGGGAAATGTTTCAAAAAAAATGAACAATGTAAAATACTTAAATAAATGTGATGAAATTAAGTTGATTTTCTTACTTTTTCAAATAAGAATTCATCATTGATTTTTCAAAAGATTGTTATTTAATTAATTTAAAATTAGACACTTAAATTAATTATAGTAATCACTCGATTAAACTCAACAATTTAAAAATATTAACACAAATATTTTAAAATATATGTCCAAATTATCTTTTAAAAAAAAGATTACTGCATTATCAAAACTCTCTCAATTAAAAGAGATAGATAAAATTGTATAGGCCATTTTGTCAGTTTTTCTCCATTTCTCATTTTTTTTATACTCTTTATGTTATTATGTGATATTTGACTTAAGTTTTTCTGACTTTAATTATTTGTTAATTTTAGCTTAATTTTAAAGATATCATACAATTTTAATTAACTTATTTTCACATTTTTATAAGCTTATCTTTTACTACGGCTGTACTAATTCACGTCAGAAAATCTAAAACACATTTATACAACTAAACATTATTTTTAACATAATTTTCTAATTGTAAAATAATATTTTAAGTACAAAAACTAATTAGAAAAAAAAAGTAAACGCTAAATGAAGACATAATTTTACACTTATCATTCACCCAAATTCTTGGTCATAACAAGGCTATATAAAAATCGTATTACTATTGGTAAGAATTTTATAACTATCAAGATATTCCTTTTAAAATATTCATCTGGAAACGATATCAAGATATTAATCAGAATTTTATAACTATCAATATATTGGTCAGAACTTTATAACTATCAAGATATTCATTTACAATATTTAAATATATTATCCTTGTTAGTGACTTTTTTTTATCCTTTTTAGTGCCTTTTTTCGGATGACCACCGCTAATGTTTCTTCAAACCGCTGTCTGCTGGAAATATCCAGTGAAAATATTAATGAACTCGTATTGCCTTTAATCCCACCAAATATAATTATTAACTTAAATGCTTTTTAATACCTAAATAAAATGTTAATTACATGAGTAGATTTCGAATAATCTCAGAATGCTGGAACATTCTTAATCTTTTAAGAAACAATATTTTCCGAAGCATTTTTGGGTTAAACTTTTCCACGATCATTCTCAAAAGCGTGAAATTGCTATATTATAATACAAATAAAACATTATCACTTTTCATTTTCGAGTAGTTAATACAAACATTTTCTAATGCTTAATGACTCCCCGAATTCCAAAATCTTTGAGCCGTAAAAAATTCAGTGGACAATAAAAGTAATAATTTACGGAAAAGAGTTCAAAATATTATGTGATAGTCAACTTAAAAAAAGAATATAAGATTTTCAGCAGCATGTAATCACACCAAGGCAATGTAATTCTTGGTAAATTCTTAAATCCAAGACATACCAACTTAAAATAACATTGATCAATTGACGTATTAGTATTCATGATGGATTCTCTTCGTAAGGCCACTAAGGAAACGAGTAAGAGCCTTCTTAGCACCAAGTGTTGCTGTTTCTATTTTTTTCTCCTCTTCTTCATTATCAGCCTTCATCTCTTGAGTAATGTGCACTCTACGTACAAGCTTTCGCAACTCCTGTTAAACATATTCATTATACGTATAAATGAAGGTTCTTTTCAAAAGGTCTATTATACTTTTTGTATAGAATATATAGTGTTTCATTTGAAAACTGACACAGCCATCATCCTCAAGTTTTTAGGTTGGTTGATTTGAAATAAGCTCTAGAAATTAATTCCCATACCATGTTAAGATAATGTATGAGTCACAATTGATCAGAATCTGACAGCAGCACAAGTACAACGATTTACACTTTTCGACCTAGTAAAGAGTCTACCTGGCGATCAAATTCAACTCCTTGGACTGAATAAATTTCATTGGTGATTTCAATGTCCTTGCTGATCAAACCATCAAACCACCTTGTCACCTGACCATCGTGCCAATTGGATTCCTGATAAAATGCTCCAAAAATAAGGATACACCTCAAGGAAATAATAATTATTACATCATAAGTAAATACATCAGACAGATTTAGCAAACAACACCCTAATGTGAGAGAGTGAGATTAAGGTGTGGTATTAACTTAGTAGAGTCGTGTGTAGTCTGTATATCGTTCAAGTATGAATGTTGAATGCATACCTCCTGGTCCTCCTCTGATTCAGATTCAACCAAGTCATCTTCATCATCATCATCTTCAGGGTTATCAGACCCTAAGCCAGTTAAAGCTTGCAACTCTTTGTGATCTGAATCTTTCGTAGCTTTAATTAATCGATCCATTAACTCAGGATCCACATCCCGTAGCAATTTCCCTGAGACAATTTATGTATGAAGAACATGAATCTGCACTGCAGGATATACATAATGTCAAATCAACTTACCACGTATATATCAATTAGCAATTGTACAGTAATCTACCCCAATTGGCGCGAAATGATACGTTAACAAAGTAACTAACAAGAAAAAATCGATTCATAACTAATGCAAAACAAAATGGGAAGAGCAGAAAAAACACATCTGTAATCCAAAAAAATATGATCATGGTTTGAATGTTTGTTATCATCGTAAATGCATAATGCATTGAACCCAATATAATTGAAATGCTCTGGAAGCAATTAATTACCGATATAATTGAACTGCCTCCGCCTTCCTTCCCGGACATCAGGTCCCAGTCTCTGTGGCAAAACAACAAACACTTTCTCTTCAACAATAGACTAATCCACAAGAACAATTATACAACCTGTTAAATAGATACATAAGATATTCCCATTGTCATGAATATGGTACAAAAGAAAAGAAAAAAGCACCTTAACGAGCATAACAGCTTCGAACACAACTTGGTCCAAGGAAGCGACCCTGCATCAACCCAACATAAAGCACACATGTTTTGAGCAAAGGTGGGAACTTTGCGAAGCGGGCATTGAGGAAAAGTAAGAGGGTATAACGGGAAATGAAAAGAGAGAACGAAAACCTAAGGATGCGTTTGATTTGTGGAGCGGAGAAGGAAGCCAAGTCCATCCCCCACTTGACAGCGCGCTTGGCTTCTCGCTTCAGCTCGTTCCGGCTCTTCTTGCCCTCTAGATCCGTGTCAGAGGTGGATGGTAGTGGAGAGTTGGGTGTTCGAAGTTTAGGACGAGACGAAGCGAGTGTGGCAAACGAGAACCGGTGAGAAATTGGAGGTGTTTTAGATGTACTGGGATGAGGTGGTGGAGGAGAAAGAAGGTGGATGTGGTGGTGGTGGTGATGGTGGTGGTGGCGGTGGAGGAGGAGGGGAAGGGTGACACAAGTGCGGTGGTGGTGGAACCATGGCCACTGTCTTAGGGGCCTTACCACTTGGTGGGTCATGTGTCTGAAGGTTATGTTATGTCTTGTGAAAATGGTAACACTTGATGAAGCTGTTCTCCTTCAATGGAAGTGGTATTTCAGGCCTAACAATGAATATTTCATTTATTAAAATTAATCATCATTTTAATAAAATATACCAATTTCGTTTGCAGAAAATACGACCTGACAAATAAATATTGGTCTAATTAGGTGGAAAAAAATAAAATAAAATAGTCAGAACAATTAAGTAAATTAAAAAATATTAAACTTTGAGATATTTAAAAATGAAATTATTACACTAAACCATCTTATGAGCAATAGATATGGTTCATTTTAGGATTTCAAGCTTCATTATAATTTTATTTTTAAAAATTCATAACAATCTTATCCTTAAGAAAAAAGTGTAAAATTATATGAAATATTATTATTTTGGAAAATCACATAATTTCATCTTTAAAAAAGGATGTAAAAATATTTAGCTCATCTTTATCAATATATAAAAAATAACATTATACGAAATATTTTTATGAATTTAAGTCAAATTTTTTATTCTTCACATTATTCCAAATACAATATTTAGTAATAAAAATTATAAAAAAACTAGTCTAATATATTTATTTTTTTCTACTTAATTCTTCCAAAAGGAAAAGTATATTTAAAAATAAAAATATAGTTTTATTAATTGTAAGTAGGCGTAAAACAAAACAAAAAATTGTAATGTACATTGTATCATTTCCCCTTCCATAAGTGGTGAAACGCAAATAGTGATGGCGTTTGAAGAGGTGTGAGTTGTTAAATCAAAAGCAATAAAACCCTTCCTTCAGATTTGACTCTCCGGCGCTGTCCTCGTCCGCATTGAACAGGCGATTCTCATTCCTACAGTTCTTGGTATCTCTCATCTTCCCATTTCTCTCCATCTTATTCATTCTTGAGCATAATTTTTCAAATTCATTCTATAAACTACTCAGTAATTTGACCTAATTGAATCCTTTTTATTATAATACAACATTCTCTCCCACAATCAACATCGATTCTCTCTCCTTCTATCTTTAATTCCAGTTCTTGATATATCTCAGCTTCCTAATTCTCTCCATCACATTTCATTCTATAAACTACACTTAGTAATTTGACCTAATTGAATCCCTTTTTATTATTATACAACATTCTTTGTTCCATCATTTTATTGATTGGCTGAATCTAGACAGTTACTCATATGTTTTTTTATTTATTTAATTTTTTAATGGATGTGAACGGTGTGTTGCCTGTTTGTACAGTAGACATTGCACACTAAAACGGGAAGTAAATAAATGAAAGGATAGGAGAAGAGAAGAAATCATGCTTTTGTATTGGCAAATGTTTGATTAGATCTTCATAGTCATACCTTTGCTTTGCTCTTTACAGAGAAGAATTAGAGGGAGTTTCTGCTTACCCTCTCAGTGGTTTAGTGAATCTGTTGTGATCAGGGTTTATGACTTTGTTTGGTTAGAGAAACCGTTGTCAAGGATCTCGAAAATCTAAAACTGATAAAATGATTGAAAGAGTAGCACATAATTTTTCGGGGATTATTACTAAATTATTGTCATGTTTGGATTTTTTAGGAGAAGAAAGCATGAAAAAGCATGAAGAAAAACTAAGTTTAAGTTATACATAAACTATCTCTAGTGGATGAAATTCAATTCATTTGTTCATCTTATTTTATTTTTTATAAGATGACTGGAGGTTATGAAAATGTTTGTCCAAACAGTATATAAACAATTCATCATTTTGATAGCCATCAATAACAGACTCAGAGGTCTCGTAGAACTGTTACACTGTACTCCGTGATGTAGTGGGTGATTGCTGACCTTTGTTTCTTCTTTCCTGTGAGTGGAATAACTGTATGATGCAATGGGATGTTATTGAATATGTAGGAGGGCTCATGGTCATGAGTCTTTTTCTGAGAAACCACCTTACTTTCACGTCTTACTTTGGCGGGTTTTAATATTAAATAAATATTTGCATTTTACATACATAGTTATTATATTTCTGTTGTGTTGAAGTCATCTTACAATCTGTAATGACAAATCAGAAGTAGCACCGGTATTGTATGGCTTCCTTCAGAGCATTTTGGAACAGTCCAATGGGTCCCAAAACTACACACTTTTGGGGACCTGTTGCCAACTGGGGATTTGTGGCAGCTGTGAGTTTCACTCATATGATCATATGTTTATATTGTTGAAGAAATTCATTTATTCACTCGACTAGTTATTTGTAACACATTGGTCTTAATCTTTGAATTGTAAACTAATCTTTGTTAAAAGGGATTGGCTGACATGAAGAAACCTCCAGAAATGATCTCTGGCAACATGACAGGAGGTTTATCTATCATCTCTGTCCCACAAAATGTTGAAACCTTTTCCCAGTCGGTTGCTTATTGCATCTATTGTTTGTTGTTAATGCTGCAGCAATGTGTATCTATTCAGCATTGTTCATGAGATTTGCATGGATGGTACAGCCACGCAATTATCTACTTTTTGTTTGTCATGCTTCAAATGAAACTGTTCAACTTTATCAATTCTCTCGATGGGCAAGGGCAGAGGGGTAAGCAGCTTGCATATTAGCGAAACTAAATTACTATGTTTTTATTCTATTCTATTATTTGCTGCCCTCTGCAATTACAAATGCTATTTTAACTTGTATTTGTTATGCATTCCTCTTGTATTTTTATAGATCGTCACCAGGGACTCTCTTTGGGTGTGGTGTTTGAAAAAGCTTCTTCAATTAACAAGCTCTACTAGGAAATTAGGCCTAATATTAATTGGCCATACTTTGTGCAATGAAAATATTTGAAAATGACCATGCTCTTGATTTATTATGATTTATTACGACTTCAATCTCTACTTGAATAGTGTGAACTCCTAGAAATACTCTGACCTATGAAGCTCGGACACACTTCACAAATGGTGTGTCCTTGTGTTCGACTGGTATCGAACACCCTGGATACGACACATTTATGACACGTACCAGTGAATTGTCCACTTCAAACTCCAATGGAAAAACAATAATTTTCTTAAAATCCATGAATTTGTAAATTTATTGCATAAATTTCTATTATGATTATCTAAATAAAGAACAAATATCATATGATTACTATTTTTCACTTTTTGGATATTGGACAGGTAAATTAGATTCATTTTTATATTAGATGACAATATGTTTAGATTATTATATTTGATTATCTTTGTTTATAGATGATTTTTTAGTATATAAATATTGCTTGTTAAATTAAATAATTCATAATATTTACTATATACATTTGTGTTCTTATATTCTACATTTGGAACTACACGTGTCGAATCGTTTGTGTCCGAATCCATGTTACATAGACGTTGATACACATCACCAGTATTTCTTACTACGTAGAGCTCGTGTATTTTAGTGGGAGTCACGTAAGTTTTATCTAATCCTAATGTAAGAAGAGTGTGATTAAGAATATCTCTTTCTCTGTAATTGTTTATGTAATGTGGGGTGCTCCTTTTCGCAATATTTGAACCGGTCTTTTATTCATTGTCATATATTTATTTTTAGCTCAATGGACTGCTGGATATACTGTTTACTGATGAAGTTTGCATTTTCTTTTTAAGGAATCTGTCTGATAAGAAGGAGGAAACTTCATCTCAGTAACATGATGATAACACTTTCCTCGGTGTAGTGATTTAAAAGATTTTGCATTTGAACTTGTCGACGTTTGAATAAGTGATCAGTGGTGGTAAGAAGGGCCTTGTGGAAACTGCTAAGGATTCTGGCCTAGTTCAGCGGAAGTCTAAATTATTTGAAGGCGTATGGGTGGGTTTTATACGTCTTACATATTGACTGACCCATGAATGTTTAATCTTAAAGCATAAACAAAGATTTGTCTATTTCCGAAATTCATTTCAATTACAAACTACTAACTTGAAGTTGAGTGTTGAAGATTGTGCTGTGACATTTCTTTTGTTAATGTTCTTGAGATAAAAATAATTTCATACAAAAAATTAAGTTTAATTTATAAATTAACTTTGAATAAATCAATATAAGAACTTTTATTAATTAGTTTTAATTTATAAAGAAATTTGTTTGATTTTTTTCTTATGTTTTCTTGTTTTAGAAAAAAAGTTAAACCTGTACAATAGTCACATGTTTTTTCCTAAGTATATCTAATAAAAGTGTCATAAGTTAAGATTTAGGTTCTATAAGACACGGTTAGACATGGAATTTAGATTCTGCATCTTAAATAGGACCTTCAATTATAATAATAAAATGTTCTCACGACCTTCAGTTATAACAGTAAAATGTTATTTGGAAAAGGTAAAGAAGAATAAAGAAAAAGAAAAAGAAACTCTTAAAATATTAGTCTTGTAAGAGTTATTCTTGAAATTGATGTAATAAATTCTGATTCAGGTTTAGCAAGAAAATCTTGTCACTTCATCAAATAAATATAAAAATTTTGGTTTAGTTGTTGGAGTTGGAAAATCAGATTAAGCCATGAGTGATAAACGGATTCTATTTCCCTGATTGTAGTGATACTTTTGTTGCAGTTGGAGTAAGGGATGGTGGTTGTTTCTTTTGAAATGGCATCTACAACTTCACCTCAAAAAAAGGACACTGTCATGTTGCTTAGACAATGTGTCTGCACCATTCTCTATTTTCTTGTTTTTGTATTCACTCTAAAAAAGTCCATTATCGTTGTTAAATTATCTTTCTAAGACTAATTTGTAGTTGCACGACAATTTAAAAGTTAATAACATTTTAAATTTATATTATCAGTATTAGTATATTTTAATTAAATTTTAGTATTAATGCGTGTCGGGTTTTAAGCATTTTAATTTATATTATATTACTGAAAAAGGGTCAAGCCTAACTATGATTATAAAAAGAGTCTAATGGTCTCAAATATGTAAATTATTTTATAGTATCAATAGATAATAAATCATAATATTTATCATTTTTAGATATTTTTATTTCTATAAGAGTTAACACATTTTATTTATTTATTTATTTTTACAGGTATGGTTAAATATCTTTTTAGCTATGTTTGATAGAAAAAAAGAGGTAGGATAGATACAAATATATAACAAGGTAAAAATAAACAAATTTCATTAAAATAAATAGATGGTATAGTGAATATTATTATCTTTAAAATTATTTTTCTCCTAATATTTAAAAAAAAATACATTGATATATAATTTTTTTTCTAAAGCAAGCAAGACACGAACGATAATATTTTTAAATATAGGGACTAGTTTGGTAAAATCAAATGACAAGTAAAAAAAAAAAAAGAGGCTTTTATCTTTGGAGTACATACATTCAATTGTGAGCAATTTTGTTTTTGTGATCTCTTTAAAGCCAAGAAATTATTCGAATTTGAGAAGAAACTCAGAATTTGTGCAGAAGGGTTTGTGATTGATCAGAGAGTAAGCATGAACAGTTTTCTTTGATAATAAAAAAAAGGGTTTATGGAAGAGAGAAACAAAGGGTTTTTGGAAGAGAGAGAGAGAATGGCGGAAAAGAAAAGCGAGGGAGTGGAGAAGGAGACGATGAGTCCATGGGAGCAGCATGCGGCGGTTATCAACCTCCCTCGTTTCGACTACAACGCTCCCTCTTCTCTTCTTCGTAACTCTCACTCTGGATTTCTCATCACTTGCACTCTCAGTTCAGTTACTTCTTCATCATCTTCTTTTTCTCATTCATTCCCTTTTCCCTTTCATTTCTCTCATTTTCTATTTCTCTTTGCAGAGCGAGAGAAGAGCGCCACAAAAGAAGCAATCGCCATCCTTCGTAAGGTCACTTTTACTTCTCTTTCTTCCTGAAAATAACCTCCTACCATAAATATTCCCTTATTTGTTAAAATTAGTGAAAATGGCTTCTTTATTGTCTCATTACCCATATATAATTGTTGTTACAGTTCGTTGAGCCGGGTCATTTTGACTCTTCAAACAACCTTAACGAGAATAGTATTTCCAAGAGACGGAAGTTGATTGATGATGCTGGTGAGGAATGTTTGGATAGCAAGGAAACTGAGTCTGCTACTGCTGACTCTGAAGATGGTATTCAGTTTATCTACTTCTTTTTTCTCAGTTTTGGGAGATGGAATGTTGTTTGATAGGGTTTATTAAACAGCCAGCCACGTTTTATTGTTTCTGATGGCAGGTAAACTTTCAAGTGCTGTTAAAGCAGGACCAGACAGAGATGGAGTAACTGATCTTTCTTTGGTTAAGCTCACAAGGAATGGGTTGATTCTCCTTACCTTTCCCAGTCACACACAACCTGACACAGTTAATATTGTCTCAAATATCATCCAAGCTTTGGAATCCGGGAATGGAAGTTTGTTGGTGTAAGTAAATTTGCTCATTCTTGTGTTACAAATGTTTTGTTTGTTTAGTGTTTTAGCATGGCAATGATGCTAGATGTAGTGTAAACTTGTTCTGTCCCCCATTGCCTTGCTATCAAAGGCAAAGATAGGGGAACTTTGAAATTTTAAGCCATGGATGTTGGTCCTAGAGGGACCTGATTGATAGGAAAGTGGTAATGAAGTTGCTGAACTTGGTAACCAGTGGACCATTTGTGAATCTGACCTACCGGTTGATTAACGAAAAGGAAATAGCTTGATATTTTACATAATGCAGCTTGATGGATGCATTTGACCTTTAATCCTTAGACAGGCCCCTTGCTAAGGTTCTGTAATATTGTGTTGCTTCACTTGCTTGTTCCATTTTCAGTTTCACAACTTGACTTATTTGTGATGTCCTCTTATCATTTAAGTGGCAAATGGATGGTCAAGTACTCAAGTTTTATGTTAGGGCAATCAAGGCGTGGGCATGTCGCAAGGCAGCCAAAGACTTGATGGGACATCACCTACATGATATGATGAGAAAAATTAAAATGTTAAAATAATCAGATTGTTTGGAAGTCACGTTGAAATTCTTGTTGGGGGGAAAAAGTCACCAAAAGAAGTGAATGTCCAATAGGTATAAAGTTGGTTAGAATTCGTGGAGGGGTACACATGTCATGCAATAAGGAGGGGGCACATGCCATATGTGATGAGTGGGTGTTGAGTGACATGAAGAAAAAAATAGCATATGGAAGATGTTGACTGAGATTCTCCGTTAGAATGAATGGAATGCCAGACTGACGAGGAAGGGAACGAAAACTGGGATATGGGGAGTTTTTAATCTGTGGAGATATTTGGTTGAAGGGGTGGGAGGATGGATGTTAGCAATGTGTTTGTGGGTGTATAATGGGGGAGGGCGATATGGAACAGTAGAGCGATATGTGGGTTAATGGGAGGTGGGTATATATAGTGGGGGAAAGGGAAATTGTTGAGGTGGTGGGCAACTTGGCTGAGGAGTTTTGATTTGGTGAGCACGAGCATAGTTGGATGAGGTGAAGGTTGGGACTGGTTGGTCAGAGAAGGCAGCAAGTTGCTCCAACCTTAACCATGGTTGACATCAATGGAGGTGGTGGTCTTCCAAAAAAGCACCATCCAATATAATCCTTTAGCCACTTTAGGCCCAACCGATCAGTATTCCTAAAATTTAGTTCTTATCAGTTGGTAATAGAACTTTCTCACTCGAGGCTAATCAAAAGGGATCGTGCACAGATGGCTCATGTGGATGCCAAGGCCTGTGAAACTTGATCTGATGGTAGAATTTAATTGTAAGGTATTAGACTTGAGTTTAATATTGAAAATATTGGATTGTTATTTGGGGTTTACAAGGCCCCCAGCTGCCCAATTACAATGACTAGTTTTTATGTTGTGGTTTTACTAAGGTTCTTATCTGAAAGAAAACAATATAATCCCCTTTCCCTATAAAACTTTATCTAGACAGATCTGAATAATATTCCTCTCTCCGGATAACTTTCCCTCCTCTTTGATTTTCCCATAAGGTGGGTTTAGGTTTGCAAAAGCGAACTAGTAGCCTATAAATTTGTTAGATTAAAACTATAACTTCAACTTAAAGAATAGTACAATTCTTTGTTATTTTGTAAATTGTTCTAAATTCATCCGTTTTTGTTTTTCTCGGCTTTTAGGCTGCCATCTCTGCTAATTTGTTGTTTGTTTCTGTTTATTGAACATTCAAGTTCTAACAACCGCAGAATTAGCTTTAGAATGGCTGATATGTTGATTGATTGCAGATATGGACACGCAAATTCTACCTGTATTCTCTTTTTTTTCATACTTATTGAGTGGACATATGTAGGCTTGTGGATGTATACTATAAAAGCTCTTCCCTCTGATTTCTGTACCTTCATTTTTTTATCTAATAGTGAACATATTTTCTACTGCAGTTGGTGTCATCGCATCTTCCCTATCCAGGCTACCTGCAGTTTGAACGAAAAAGAATTACAAGAAGTAGTGTCAATGCTTGTTAAAAAATTTGTAGCTGCTAAACAGGACAAACTACAACGACCTCTAAAGGTCCAATACAGTATTTCCTTTTAACTGAAAATCAGCCTTGCATAAGCTAACGTTGATTTCCATTTTCATCACTTGAGATACACAGATTTTAATTAAAATTTGAATTTCAATAAACCTGAACGAATATTTACCGATTATGTGTCAATGACAACTGAAGCCAGAGCCAAGATTTTGTTTTGATTGTCAAACCAATAATTGCACATACTGGAGCTTTCTCAACTTTCTAATAGAAAAAAACATATTTAGTACAATATAAATATAAAAAGCATGTTTGGGTTGTACAAATAATGAAATATAAACACGGTATGATTTGTAAATGAATTGATTTCTTAAACAAATATAGTCTAAGTAAGTTTCACACAATAATTTCTATATGAATTAGTTATATTCATGTTGATATTTTCAGAGTTAAATTATATTTTGGTAAATTTCATTCTTTAGATGTGATGTACATCGGTTATCGATCTCACATGAAAATAATTATAAACTGCCATTGTAGTTTGCTGTTGGGTTCAACCGAAGAGGAA